AAGGGATCAAATGAGGAATCGTCCTAGTGTCTTCCTTGTCTTCCGCATAAAGTTGTTTTTTCCTACAAAATGGTAGGATTGAGCCAAGTTGATAACATGAGTATGCACAAAACTCGCAAAAGCTAACACTGGGTCTAGAACAGAGCCAAAAAGCTAATCTGGAGCGGTTGGGCTTGGTGGGAAGTGAGGACAATGAATGGTATCCAGCTAAGCTTTTGCAGGCCACCTTGTGGAGAGTGCATACTCATGTTATCAACTTGGCTCAATCCTACCATTTTGTAGGAAAAAACAACTTTATGCGGAAGACAAGGAAGACACTAGGACGATTCCTCATTTGATCCCTTTTCTGCTCCGACACTTGACGATCTCCTCGTTATTTTTGTCCTTTTTTCTTCGACATTTGTCTGGACGATGGTTCTCAAGGATAGCTTTAACGCATAAACAGGAGCACTGCACTCGTTTAGTCCAAAAATGCGTAATGCACGCACTACAAACGACAGTACCACATGTTTCGACTTCGGCGCGTTTGATATGGGCACCGGAGGTTTTGAGCCCATCTTTGTGATGAGGCAGTTAACGAAATACGGCAGGACGAGGCAGAACCATTTCTGATTGCCTTTGATATGTAGTAACCCTTCCCTCTGCTAAGGCTGAGCCCTAGCAGAGGCAGAAACTGAGCGCTGTTCACTCCCCTCCTCCTTCACCCCATCTCCAACCTTATCGGCCTCCCTTGTAGATGTGATATTCGTGCACAGAACATGGAACTGGGAGCATTTCTGGGAGCATGTCCTCAGCGAATTTAGCGGTTTACTGCATTTAAGCGTCGGCAACAAGGCTCTGCTAACTACACATCATTCAAGTACCCCAGTCAACTTTGTTGACACATCTTCCTCTAGAGCTTCAGTGATTCCCGAAGGCGTCAGGTAACGTCCAGCATCTCGTCACTTCGTGCTTTTGAGTGTTTTTCTCTGGTGTCATCCATTACGTCAATCGGATCCTCACTTCACGCAGTGGAGCACCCTCATCGAAATACCATACCCAGAGATCGCTCGTGTTTTTATACGAGATCACCTATTGCGGAGCGGAACTTTACGTCTGACCACGGTCTTTGGTCCTCATCCCCGCCCCCAATGTGAGACTGCAGACATCAACCACTTCTTGTGCCTTTCTCGACAACTCCAGGCGTGATGAGGGCTGACCCAGTGAGCGTAGTGAACATGAGCTTCCCACAAGAGTGCACAAGAAGTGGAAGGTTACGTGACATCTTGAACTTTTGTTTTGCATGTCCTGTTGCGAAACCAGGCAGGTAGAGGACAGCGACTCCTAGAGCATGAAATGTGCAAGAAACATGTGACGGGCCAGGATATAAGCTTTTTCCAAGGAAAGGGACTTCCCGTTGAAACAGTCACGATCTGGAAGTGACAGCGATGCAAGAGATCATTGTGTTACCACTGTTAGTTGATCAGTACGTACCTAGTGGTAGGTACAGTCGTAGTTTCCGTTCCAATCTCTTTTGTTCCCGTTCTCCGAATCCCCAAAGCTGTGAATGTGGCTAAAGCATCAGTGAGAAGAAAACGATTTGCTACTGTTGTCTTAACGGTATTTTATGGTTTTGATAACCTGTTATTTTGTCCATGTCCGCTTGGGAATGAATGGTCATCAGGTAAGAACCTTCTCTCCGACAGTATTCTTGAGCGTTCTCGTAACTGACGTCGCCAGAACCAATTGTTGAAACAGTCACGATCTGGAAGTGACAGCGATGCAAGAGATCATTGTGTTACCACTGTTACCTTGAGTGTGGGTAAGACACTTACCACCTGTGAAAAGCCGAAATGTGGAAGGTCGCAATGACGTGAGGATCCCATCAGAAGAGAGTGTGCAGAGAAAAACAGAAGATCGGCACGGGGAGATTCAAAGTGAGTAAAGGGACTAAGATCGAGGTGCCCGTGAAGCGAAAGTGCAAGCAGGTTAGTGACGTAGAGAGTTCAAGCAGCGGCTAATACAATGTATTAGTAGGATCCTATCATTAACAGCTTATGATAGTGTTATCGAGGAACATAGTATGAAATTGTAAAAATCGGCGCTGTTCGGCGACGGGAGGGGGAGGGCATTCTGCAATTTCTAGACTTTCACTTCCACCAGTACGATTTACAAGTCTCACTATGGTGAAAGCTGTGACCTCTTGTGAAGCTGGAGCAAGCTCGTCGTGCTATCGCGGTAAAACCCTCAACTCAAAAAAATGCTCTCTAGATGGATCGACACATCGATGGGAAGTATCAAAAGTGCAAAATATCCCTCCCCCCACCCGTCGCCTACTTCTAAAAATCTTGTGAATGTTTTGGAAATCGCGGAAAATTTTTTTCTGGAATGCAGTCCTGAACCCCATTTTCAAGGGTGAGGAACGTTCACAATGCGGTAAGAGTGGCGAAAGGGGCATTACATATGACCAGGACCTAATCGATTTGACGCAGTAGTCGAGTCAAGTAAATACCTTGCCAGCTTGTTCGCATCGCCGCAATGCGGATGTAATGACCCATACCGCCACAGTTGGGGCACGTCGCCCTGCTTTGTTGGTGGATGAAAGGAGTCGTATTTGCATTTTAAAGGAAATATTTCCTATTTTTTTCATGTTCCATGTTCATGTTCATGTTTTTTCATGTGCGGTATACAACCCCTTCCCACTCACTCGACAGACGATACTTTTTAGGGGAAGGAGAGGTTTTTAGAGAAAGAACTTCGGAAAGTACTAGGAAGTAGGGAAAGCTCAAGGGGATGGTCAGTAGTAAGGGGGATTTGTAACGGGGGGAGGTCGTGCCTCGTGCCAGACAGCTGGGGGTCGTACTCCACTGAAAATTCCCTCACGCCAGGGCCGTGCACTAAATAGAGTTCCAGTAGCGAAAACAGGGAACATGGAGAAGGTGTGGAATTTTTTCCCTATTCCTTAATTTCCTCTTCAATACTATCAAGCGAAGCGGGAGGGGCGGATGTATGGATGGCTCCAAACAAGCCCTAAAGGTAGTTAAAATTGCCTCCCGCGCCGACAACGCCGACCGAGGGATATGAGAGAACGGAAAAAACCAACTTTAAAATTTTTCTCTAAGTCGGATGTTGCTGTGGGCCTCCTCCCTAGCAAACATTTGACACAGCACCTGATGAGGAATTTCACTTCTAACTTAATACTGTGCGGAAAGCCGCCGGTGGCTGCCCTGGACCAGTCGCGTGCGAAATGATATGCCAATTTGTGTAGCAATCTGCCAGTTCATGCGGCCTCAAAGGTACACTCACCTTCGAGGACGGCCCTCCACATGGGGTTAGGCCAGTGGGTCTCCAGCTGGTGGCGTACCACTTTTTTAGCTCAGAAGTGCAAGGGAACGGAGTTGTAGGGTAATGTAGCGCCCCAAACACCGTTCTCGTGCACTTTTAACCGGAGAAGTGGCACGTTACCGTAGCTGCGGACTCAATCTCACCATACACGACAAGGATCAAGAGGTGAGTGTACAGTTTGTCTCGACATTTCTCAATGGAATCTTCTTACTCATTCGTGCATTACAAGCACTAACAAAAACAACTTTTCAGCTTGTCACCAATAGTCACCCGCGTCATCTTCGCCACATAATCGGCTCGTAAGGTATCATCACATCTTATCGTTTAATACGATTTTCAATGAATTTTTAGCATGCCATAAATAACAGCAGCATAGTCAACAGTGACAGGTATTACTCCACCTACTGATCACCTCTTGAAATTAATATAATCCTTTCAAGCCCCTTATCACAGCTGAAAGAACCAAAATATCCCTGAAGCTCATTTTGGGGAAGATCTTCTTCGGGAAATAGATGATGACATCTCTCCCCGTAAAATGATGTGGAAAGGGGGGGGGGAGGGAGGAAGACAGTAGCATTGGGATCCTCCGTCAACGGAAGGATGTGCCGTGGCTATGACTTACACATCATGACGTGAATGTCATCACAATGTTACTATTCCATTCTCTACTAACAACGTTTGCCCCTTCTGATTCTATCGGCCTCTTCAGTACATCACATTGCTGCACAAAGTATTAATAGTAGGTAGATTAAGAGAGATAATAGCTGGAGGTAATAATAGGTAGGTTGAAACTACGACGGAACCAAATAGAGAGGACATGTAGGCTCTCAGGGCACAAAAGAGAACGTTTCACTCACGACACACGGACTTGCAGCAACTCGACTTTCGTAATCTCTTATCTACAAGGGGATGGAGGGCAACGGGGACTTTATTCATAGCACACATTAAGTCAACCCTGCTGCTGTTAAAGGCAAAGCCCGCGATTATTCGCCATCAGGGACAGGGTACAGCATGGGGATGTGCGAAATGTCGGTGTGAGTACGACCCCCCCCCCTTCGAATGGGGTCCAGGCACGACCCCCCCCCTCCTCCGCCTCCACGGCTTCTTCGCCGACGGACGAGCGATGACTATAAGTCGCACTTTCGCTATATAGTTGTCGGCTTTTTTGCCGACAACTATATAGCGAAAAAGTTGTCGGCAAAAGTGCATATAAAAAAAATTAATACGACCCCCCTTTTCCACAAGAAAAAATCAACTATCAAAATAAATTTGTCTTACAAATACGACCCCCCCCCCTCCCCAGAGCAAAAGTACGACCCCCATGGGTTTGACACAACGATGCTGTACCCTGATCAGGGATAGTGTATTAGGGATTTGCATGTAGACGACAAAGTGCTTAGTAACTCGATAGCGACAAAAAAGCAGAAAAACAGCATGCGAACTGCCCTGGATAGAACCCCATTTTGATCCTAGTTTGTACGTGCCTAATTCCGTCTCCACCACAACACCTCATCCGCCCAGCTGGTTCCCGTTAAGAACACTACAAGTGACGATTTTCAAGCTTTTTCGTCCTGCAGTTTCGTTTTTCATTGAAAGGCGGACCTTGGGTCTGGAGGCGGAGTCACTGTAAAAAAGAGGCATCACTGAACCCATATTGCGCTATAAAACCCCTCCCTTAGAATTTTTTGCCGCGAAACCGGTACAAGGTTGTTCGTCTTGGACCGCACTA